TTACAAGTAACGCGTTACTTGTAAGATGGGCCTCTGTTCACCACAGATAAATGTTACCAGAAAACAAAAGGTAACAGAAACAAGATCTACAAGAAAGCTCTCATGATGGATTTAGTCATCCATCCACCCGCTTCTGCTTCTGCTTGTCAGGGTCGCGGGTTGATCAATTATTGATTCACGTACTAAGAGGAACTGAGCAACAGAGACCATACGGTTACATTGTGACCTTGGTTCTCTGAGTGAGAAACTATCTCTGGAGAGTGAAGTCTCGATATGATAGAGAACTAATGTGTAATCATCTATATTTCACTGTTTTACTCTTTGGTGCAGTTGTGGATGTTGTTTTTGTGGCTCAGCTGCAGGGGAGGGGTGGAGCAGTGGTGTCAGGGTGTGGTTCAGGGGAAGCTGAGCCACACAGCTGCTCTCAGTCACCTGGTCATGCCGGGACACAGGACACGGGACCTGATGAGAGAAGGGAAGATAAACATCCACGTGCCTACAACACTCTTGGGTCCTTCATACCACAATTATAATAATGTTCATTCTTTGGGATTTTTTTGTGTTTAAATCATTTTTGTTGATTGTTGGTTTTATTTTTTGGTGGTCTGGGAGCTGACACAGTCTCTAAGGGGATGGGCTTCTGGGGGGGATAACAGGAGAGAGGCTGCAGAGAGGCTTCCTGGTCCAGACTCTGGATTGTCACGTTTTGGGGGATTTGATAAATTTTCCCAGATTTGTAGAAAGCGAGCTGCTCCAGCAGGATCTTTCCTAACAGGACAAGGTTTCCACCAGAAAGTTTCCCAGTTATCTGTAAAGCCCACGTTGTTTTTGGACGACCTCTACATACATCATATATGAGCCTTATGATTATAAACAGAATCCCTGAACAAGCCTGTAAATGAATGCGCCTCCACACTGCTGCTAGATCTCAGTTTAACTTCAACATTTAGAGATAGAAATTTAAAGAATGTTAAATGGACTGCTTCTGATGTCGCACTTTATATAACTTACCTCACACTCCCATCCATACGAGCACTTTTCATTTGTAAGTGCTTTCTATCTAACATTTACACCTCAGTGGATGCATCAGAGGGAGCCTTGAGGTTAGTATGTTGACATGCAGATTGAAGCAGCATCAAACCAGCAGCCTTCTGATTAGTATACGACTCTGTGTCCTGAGCTACAGTGACCTCAAAAGAAGGTAAAACATTCACAGTGTGGACGATTATAAGTTTATAGGTCAGAGCGCTATATTTGCACAACTGTTACTCGCCCATGCTACAGTCTGCTTTGATCTGTTGCTAAACTGATATATTTGATCAAATAATCCCAGATGAAGGAGCTTATTTTTTATAATACAGAGAAGAAAACATCTTCTTTTCTACTCAGTTCTGGCTGCTTATCTCCTGATGGTGTAGGA